TTAACTAAATTAATAACTTGATTAATTTTATTGTTTCGTATACTTTTTATATTATCACGATATAATTATGTGATATTATATCATTGATTTTGTCAATAACGATTAATTAATTCGATTAAAATTAACTTTATATTTTTTCGAATTTCAAAGCACGATTTTCTCGAAGAAGAATCATTGATCAACAAATGCGAAAAATATTTAATTAGCTACAGTTAAGAATGATAGTTTTTTTAAATATTTTTAGTGAAAATTTCATTGGAATATCTCGAATGATTCAAAAGTTATAAGAAATTGTCACTGCACTTCTCGATCCGGAGGATATTTTTATTCGAATCGAGTATACTTTTCATCCTTTATTCGAGTTTACTTTTCACCGCTGGCTCCATCTCGTATGTATCAAGCAACTACACGTCTCTAGATGATACCATTCTTGTAACGAAGTCTGTACAGCTCCTTGAATGAGGCATGAAGAATACTCGATTCGTGCTAACGACACAGACTTGGGATCCGTGCAGACATTGTGAAAAATAGGCACAAGTTAGCAAGAAGCGGATATACCGTATACTTCATTTCTACTACGAGAGCTGAATATTATTTGAAGGCACTATACGGCACGAATATTTAAATGGTGGAAGTAGTATTTTTGGAACATGTAATTATTTGTAATTAACGTGTAATTACTTCAACTAATTGCACAATTCACGATGGTATACGTACAGCGATAGTTTTATACATTTCTGTCTTGCGGATGATTTAACTGCAAAATTGCTAAAAACTTGCAAGATAGCATTGCAAAAAGAGCGTTGCGTGCAATGTTTATACGGATCCTGAGTATGCGGTAACAATGGAATAACTACGTTCCAAGACTTAGCGTACGCCTGTGCTACGTTGCTCATGGGAAGAGGTCATTGCAATCGGTCGTAAAATATCAGGTCGATAAGGTAGCTAGACACTGATCACGAAAGCCCGCAACGGGCCACAAGATGTTCGGTCTATTCGTATACCTTGTCTGTGTTAAAACTTTGTAGTAAAGAAAACATAATTAAAATGCTACCAACAAAAGTGTTGTTTTCCTCATAAAATATGTGTTATGTCAGAGTTCGCTGAGTTTATTAGACATTGTATTTGCCGTATTTGTGCCCGTACGTAGCAGAGAAAATGTTAAACAGATTTAAATCAGCATTTATGAATGCTGTGGGTGCAAGTGAGCTTGGCCTACAATATCCTAACGACTCTGATAATGACGCGATAACGAATTATATTAATTCTAATTTTACTACAGAGGTAGAAAACAAACCGTACAGTCGTCCAAGTTTTTTAGGGTTAACAGCAGAGGAGACTCAAGTGTGTTGTCTAAAGTATTATGATTGTTGCAACGGTACACTTTCAATAATAATTATATCCAACGTGTGTCCCATAGGTGAGCGCCGATCATAGAGTTAGACCAATCATAGTTCCAAGAGACCTGAGTCGACTACCATGGTGCGCTGGTTACGCGGAATGTATAAACGCTGGGAAAAGCACTTGGAACGAAGATCAAGCCTCTGCGACCAGAGGGGATCTAAAATTAAACGATGTTAATGTTACGTTGCCTTACGTTATGTTTTCTATGTTCGATGGACACGCTGGTTACCAAGTTGCTTTGACCGCAAGATTACAATTACATAAAATAATACTTGTAATAGCAACGATTGGTTATTCGTTAATTCCTATATTTTCCGTGGTACATATTTTCTATTTCATGTTGCTTTTCCAGGATAGGTTAATGGCGATACCAGGGAATATGTTACTAAACGACGACGAGGATGAACTGATAAGTGGAACAGATTTAGTTATCGGTGCTATCGAGTTAGCATACAGACAAATGGATCAAATGGTAGAAGCTCAGGCTCAAGACGGAGGTGGTGGTTGTACAGCGATTACTATTTTATTCCTTAATGGTAGATTATACGCGGCGGGTGCTGGAGATTCTAGGTAAAATTTCTATTTCTCGAGCACGCGTGTAATTTGTAATATTCTCTAATAAATATCTAACGAACAGGGCTATATTAGTGAAGGAAGATGCCCAGTATGCGTTGACAAGAGATCATACTCCCGATTCAGAGTCTGATCGAGTTAGAGCGCTCGGTCTTCTAAGAAGCAACGAGTTACTCTCCAATCATTTCACACCGCTAGAATTTCGAGAACGTCCTTTACGGAAAGAATTAGGCTCCATGGTTTTATACAGAGAACCATACATGACTGGCTGGGCGTACAAAGTATTATCTCATTCTGATTTGAAACTACCTCTTATATCTGGTCACGGAAAGAGGGTGATTATTTTCAATATCTTCGCGCGTCGACTAGGAATCATTTTGGACACGGATTTGTTATGAAATTCTTGTTTAGAGTCGAGTGATGGGAACCATAGGAGTGACACGCGGATTCGGCGATCATGGTTTGAAGGCAGCTAATACGGGAGTAAATATAAAACCGTTCCTATCGTCGCAACCGGAGGTGCAATCAATAAGATTGGACAAGATCTGCTACCTCACGGAACGTGACTGCGTTATCGTAGCCACAGATGGCCTCTGGGATGTTGTGTCGGATAAAGCAGCTGCGAACATACTCAGGAAAACCCTAGCCCCGGACACACCGTCGCTAGAATATAGGTATTTTTCCCTGTAAGTTAAGGTACATGTTCCAACAACGAAGTTTGCAACCGTATTCCTTATTTCAGGCTTACAATGGGTGCTCAAGAATTAGTACAAGCAGCGAGGGGTAGTTTAATCGGTAGAGTGTGGGTAGGTAAGTCGGATAGTCCCGAGGACACGGACAAAAAGTTTTTACCAATGGCATCGGTCGATGACATCAGTGTTCTAGTAGTTCCATTATATCCGTATTCGTGCGAGCATAAGCAATGGTTGAAGACGTTACATCAAGAAAGAAGATATTCTATGGATTCGATACACATATCATCCAACAATTCCACGCAACAGTATACGACCAAATCTCCCGAAATGGATTAATTTATAATTTAGTAGGAGAGTTACAATTGAACAAGAATATTCACAAGTGTAGCGTTAGAGTTAACCGGACACCGAAACATAATTGCTTTTACGTTGCTTTAAAAAAAAAGAAAAAAGAAAACGTAACATTTCTATGTACATTGCAGTTTCAAACTTTCCAACGGTTTTCTTTTTTTTATTCGGAGTGATAGTTTAGCGTATACTGCCACACACCTTTCAAGAATTGTAAATTAGAAGAATGCCATAATTATTTAACCGAACATTCCAACATTAGCATATATTCAGCATAATGTAACTTAATTTCTAAGTGTTACGCAGCATCCAAAGTAGACAAGTACAGTTTGTTTAGCTTCGCAGTGTGCGTGTGCATTATATTTTTGTGCGTCGCGAACACCATTAAGAGAACATTCACAAACAAAGCAGTGAACGAATTTGTACGGAAGTGATATTATCGGAATCATTAACGATCACGTTGCGACGAATATATATTTCGTTCGTTTATTTTGTATTTATTATTATTATTATTATTATTATTATTTCTATTTTGATTTTGATTTTGATTATTTTTATTTTATAATAATTACTTGAAATCAGTATGTATACATATGTACGAATCATCTTTAAGTGGTTGATCCACCTATGACCAGAAATAAAAGAAATTGTATATACATATATATAAAAGGTGCATTGCTTTTTTTTAGCAATGAATATATAGTAACGTAAGTTTTATCTCGTCTTTATATATTCTATTTTTATTTTGATGTCAATATTGTAATTGAAAAATTTGAATAAACGTTCATTGTATTCATTCGGACAACCCCCCGGCTTCGTTTTGCAGTTAATCACTAATTCACCGATTTTAATCGATTACACTCTTTCAATCGACAAGAATTTTGTGTTAACGCTTTTGTTCATATGCGAGTTTATTAACAGAATTTTCAGTGATTGCTTTTTTTTAGCAAATAATCTTACAAACGTTCTTCTAAACAACAGTTCTGAAGAAGAAACGTTTGCATTGTTGTTGAGGGTGGTTTCTCGGCACGCGGTCGATATTGTTCAATTTATCAACGAATCACTTAACTGTGAGTCACAGTTCAATTGCAAAATACTCGGTCAAGGAATAGAAATGAAAGAATTCTCAAATGTCGACGCGTATTATTGTTAATACATTAGAATTCGTTGAAGAAAGAAGGAACGTATTATTCAGCTTTCTATTTCGTAGAATTAATGCAGACAATCGATTATTTATTTCGCATAAATATCCGCAGTCTAGTCGTCATTGCGACAGGCCCGTAAACAAGAAAATTAGAAGAACCGACACCTTCTGAGAAAGATTATTAAATACCGATTTCAAAGAACACTCGAGATGGTATCGCGGATAGCTCGCGTCACACGTATCAGATGAATCGCTTTAGATGTTTTCCAGATCGAGAAAACGATAACTATAACACCCAGCGATAACACGAATTCAGATAAACTTCGTGGAATTATCAATAGGCTGCGGATCGTGGAAAATAGATTGCTACAAATACGAATACATAGATGTTCTAATTTTATTCGAATCTTTCAATTGTTTCTATTTTCACTTGTCCCGATGTAACGTTATATTAATCAGCAAATCGTCTCAACAGTTTGTGTACCAGTAAAGAACCTTGAATTAAAAAAAAAACCTTAAAAACTTCTCATTCTTATTGTCGTCGAATGCAATTTGTTGCTTTACAAATAAATCTGCCATCGTTATTCGACTGTTTTCAACAATTACAATTATTCCTGATTAACCCTTTGCCGTACTTCGAGATTTCCAGTAATATTCTGTCGACCCTTTGCCTTACGAGCACGTGCGAGAGACGTGGTCAGATAATCGGAGCAGAAATTATTATTACATCTGAGAGCCCCGGGTCAGATAATCGAAGCAGAGATGATTTAATAATCGATACAATCATTACGTCTGAGAGACGTGGTAAAAAAAGTCGAGGCAGAAGTGATTACCACGTCTGAGAGACGTGGTCGAAAAATCGGAGTAGAAATTATTATTACATCTGAGAGCCCTGGTCAAATAATCGAAGTAGAGATGATTTAATAATCGATACAACCATTACGTCTGAGAGACGTGGTAAGAAAGTCGGGGCAGAAATGATTACCACGTCTGAGAGACGTGGTAAAAAAATCGGGTCAGAAATAAGAGCAGTGGTGCGTCAGTCATATATAACTTACTGAAATCTACGAAATTTTTCAAATTTTCTAGACTCAGATAAACTCATCGTTACTTTTATAAACTAATTGCAAAACAGCTGTTTTCCGTGCTCCGTAAATCTAGCTAGTTAAATAAACATAAGCGAGCTGAACAAACACGAATTCTGTTTCTCCCAAGAGTACGTTACGATCGAAAAGGTGCTCGTCACCGCGACCACGAAGCAAACGTCACGCCAAGGAGTCTCGAAGTACCGGACTTAGCCGCGCTGTCTACATCGAGGACTGCAAACTATCGCAAACAATTTCCTGACGGCCGGCGACGTTCTAATCCAAAAAAGTTACCATCGAAGTCGTTTCAAGCCGGCTCAGCTAAATGGATCATACCGAAAGCCTTTATCATCGTCGCCGTAGTTCGCGCGGCGTAACCTTTTTTCCCGTAATTGAAACGAATGAAGAACCGCTATTCCGCGGGATATCGCGGGAACGCTTAACCCCTTAATGCACAGTCTTTTTGAAAAAGGCCGGTCAAAAAAGATCAATTTTTTTAAATGTAAAAAAACACAATTTAGAACGTTGTCTTGGCAAGAAAATGACAAAAATACAAAAATAATGGATATTTATACAATTGGTATGATTTCTAATTTTCAGAATATTACTATTATTATTATTGTTATTATTATTATTATTATTGTTATTGTTATTATTGTTACTATTATTATTATTGTTATTATTATTATATTTTATTTTACATTATATTTTAGTAAAATATACATTGAAAAATGAGCGAATCAGAATCTGAATATGAACACGCTGTCGGAAACGGCTCACAAGGAAGAGATAAGTCGTAAGTGATAAGTATAGAAAAAGGATATATCTTATACTCGAATAAGTAAGTGTTATCGCTTATACAATCCCATGTAAATAATAAATATCAATAAAACGATTGTTTCTTTTTTGCTTTCACATTGTTATGTTCAATTCCCGATTGCATTCGAGCGTGAGAAATGATAGCAACGTAAAGTACAACGCCGCTCGAATTTTCTCGAGTGTGCACAGTTCGGCCAGTTCAGCGCGCTCGAGTTAACTCGAGCGTGCACGTTAAGGGGTTAAACACGCCGCGCGCGTTCGACGTCTCCTTGGTTAAACGGTGTCGCGTCGATGCCACAATGCCGGCCCATTCGGTTCAACAAACGAGAATTGATGGTCGTTTCACAATTTTCAGCCCGAGACGTAATTCACGCCCGACGCTCGGCCCGAGCCGGGTTTTTTCGTCGGGACGGGCCCGGCGCTGTTGGGGCGCGGCGAGGCGCGGCGGGGTGCGGCCCGACGTCGGATATGTTTTTCATGGCGGCGAGTTATAGCAGGCTATCTGTCACAGTCATCATCGATGGCAACTTTGAGGATACCGCGAGGGACGTAATGCTTCTACACCGGCGTGTGGTAAGGGCG